TATTAGTCTGCTTTCTATAATTGCGTTTGTCATCTTTCAAGAATATAGGTACATGTATGAAAAACAACAGCCACACTAAATTAGGATTGTTGAAGTTTTGGTGAAAAAGATGGGAATGTTAATGAAGTGCTGGAAGTAAGGCGAGAGGTCAGCGGGAGAAATTTATTTGTTGTTTATTGAAAAGTAAAATTGATTCCTTTTAAGGGAAAGTATAATTAATTCACATTGAAACAATTCCACTGGCTTTGTTTGATGAGTGCCTCAGCGTATCTTAACTGTTTTCGAAGCACTACGAAATCGATACATAATAAGGAATAATTGTAGTTCTGATTAACATTTGGTGTAGATGTCTTTTCTTAAGTTTAAACTTAAACCAAATCGATACTTTGCAAGGAATGATGAATTTCAATTAACATTTAATTGATTCTGATTAACATTTAATTCAGACTACTTCTAAGACAGAATTTAGCACGAAGAGCAATCTTTTATCCTTTATTCTTCTGAAATGATGCTGTTAGTGTTCCATTGCCTTTAAATATTTATCTCAAATTTTTAAGTCGGTAAAATTTACAAAAAGGGACTGGAAGCCAATAGATTCAAGTGTTGAAGTGATCATCTCTTTATCGCTTGTCCCTATAAAAAATTTAAATTAATGTCTAAAAACAAATTGAGCAGTATCCGTTGTCATCTTTGTTCAGCAAAATGCGATTAAAGGAAAGGGGATGATTTAAAAAGAAATTATGCATTGGACTAATGGCCCGTAAATGAACCGTAAATAGCCATGACAAATTTTCATCAAACAAATAATTACCGGCACCTATTGTTGTTTTTAATCTGACGAAAAATTGCTTTCAACGGAAAATGTGATTAAAATAAGATTATGGTACCTGTTGCACATTGAAATAACCTGTCCTACAAAATAAAATTGAGGAATAATATGTCTGAAAAAAATTTGGTGTAAGATATACTGTCACTTTTTATCATTTCTCTTTGTCACAGGAGGAGATCAGGTTTAAATCGTCCATTTTTAACTAATGAGAGCATAAAATGCCAAGGTACCTACACTTTTTGAAGATGCATTTGTACTTATAATCCATTTTAAACGTTCAAAAGAATCATCAATTCAAGCATAATTCAAAAAATCAATTTAAACAATGCATGGAGTTCATAATTTTGTTGTCATGGAAATGTTAACGGTTGCATGAGTATGGTAAGGGAGGTTTAAAGAAACAGTATTTAGAACGCAAATTATGGCCTCGGTAATAATGGATTTTTCCATTCGAAGTTAAATCAAGGTGAATAAATAAAGTGCATTTCTATAAAAAAATAAAAATTAGCTCAGAGTGACATGCTTCGTGCTCAACTTTTGCTAACTCTGAAAAAAATTGAGACAGAATGTTTTCTGTATAATAATAAACTTCAAATTCTTGGTGTTGTGAATTCAATCCAGTTTTTTTTTTAAATTATATCCCAAATATCTAAAGATCTCGGGAAATTCTTAGAGCAACCATTCGTAATCTGTAAAAATTTCTTAAAGCTCATAACAAATAACATTCCAGGTAAAATTGCTTGTAATAGGCGAAGAAAGCAGCATTGATAATCTTTATTCATATTATGAATTCACGATTAAGAAAGGAGTGCCAGTGGGATCTACCGTCGGAAGAATTGGGAATAGAAAAATACTCAAATTTGAGCTTCTGGTAGAAAATGACAATTTTGAAATTGACACAGAAAATGGAGTGATTCGGACAAAAAATGAAGTGCAAGTGAGTTTTAAATTGAAAATACGGAGTCGACAGCTCAAAGGTCTGTTAAATGAAATGCTAGTATTCTAATTTTAAGAATTATAAATATTGTGATATCCATTATAGATTCCGGAAACTTACCTGGATATCAAGGTCACAAATCGAGATTACAACGAGATAAGCAAAATAGTCACCGTACTCATTATCGTTGCTCAAGCACACAGCAATGCACTAGTATGTTTGCAAAATCGGATTGATTTGATGGTGCCTGAAAATTCACCATCCGGAACATTTGTTGGTATTTTAACGGCAGGTGATAATAATCTTACTCGGTATATACTTCTGGGACATCCGGATGCTATAGTGATGGACAGTAATACTGGAATCATAAGTACCACTGCGCCGTTTGATTTTGAAAAAGTATATCGTTTATAATTGATTTCATGTTTGGAAATAAAAAATGAGACAGTCTTCAAATTAAAATAAGTTAACTTCCGATTTTTAGGAATCAGAAAACAGAAATTGCTTAGGTGCAAATTTACATACAATGTTTCTTCGATTCTCCTCTTTATCACATCCTTAATTTCCAGGAAAATCTTTATCAATTCAAGGCGATCACCTATGAAATACAGGGTGCATCACTAGAATGTCACATTTTTCTACATATTATCGACAAAAATGACAACGCTCCTAAATTTGGTTCTAGTAGTTATGAGGTCAAAGTTTATGAGGATGCTCCGGTTGGTCTAGTGATCTTTCAACTTGACGTTGACGATTTGGATACTGGTCAGCTTTTCAGTGCAACAATAAATGGCAATTCAAACCATCCCATAATTTAATAGTACTTGAAATCTACTTTTTAGTTTTCTTATAGCAATTTTTTTTTGGTTAATAGCAATTCCAATAGCAACTATAATTTCACTCTTATTTAATATCCGGAAATTCTTCAGTAAATGAGTTCGTTTACGAAATTTCTGCAGTCGGTAATGAGCGAAGTTGGTTCGGAATTAAGCCTGATGGGCGGATTTTTCTCACAGCACCTCTTGACCGGGAATACATGGTCACTCATCAATTGCACATCAATGTTTATGATCAAAGACCTCCAGAAAGAAGTGAGTAATTTAGCTTTAACTCAATCTCAGCCTAGTTGAAAATGTGATGGCATGACATCCAGTTATGATTTTAATTGTAAATTATGATAACCAATTAAAATTGTGGTGGCATAAAGAAACATTTAAGATCAACCATTAATTGCAGTAACTAATGTTTTCAACAAATTAAAATTTCGATTCTAAATTCTCTAATCACCCAACGTTGAAGTCATAAGTCATACACATAAGCAAATGTAATGAAAAGCAATTATCAAGTTTGTTGGCGAAATTCAGTAATACAACGAGAAATTGGACTGGTTTTTATGAAACAGAATTCAAGTAGTTAAAAATTTAAGTTAGTTATTCCGAAACAATTACTGAATATAACTTCATGTTTTAGCATTCAAGGCAACGACTACAGTAAAAATAATAGTTCTGGATATAAACGACAATGCACCGCAGTTTGTTTCACCGCTTGCGTATTTCATTTTCAACGGAACAGTGCCAGGCACCATCATCGGCTTAATTCATGCTGTGGATCCTGACTTGGGTCATAATGGGCAATTGCAATACCGCATTTTACCGTGGTCAAATCCGGAAGGCCTATTTATAATAAATCCAGTCCTTGGATATCTACTGGTACAACACTTATTTGACGCAAAATTTCATCGGTCATATCATTTCGAAATCGCATGAAAAATTACCACTAATCACGCTGCAATAGAAGAATTTAGTTGATAACTTCATAAAAACAGGCCAATCCAATTAAAGTTCTATACTAGATGGTGCCATTTTATATTTGAAGGTATTAAAGTTAGCCAAGAAAGTTTGAATTAGAAAAAATAAGTACTAGAATAAAGCAGTGCTAATTGCCACTGCAGCGACGATAATTAAAGAGAACTCAGAAAAATTCCAAATTTCAAACAAACCAATATTTAGCTTTTCTCAGGTACGTGATCAGATTGATGCCGAAGAGCGAAAAGATTATCATTTATTAGTTGAAGCAAAGGATTATGGTATTCCAAAGAGGTTGTCAACGATTGTCTCAATAGCTGTGACAGTACTGGCTAACAACAAGGGATCACCGAGACTAAAAAGCTCTTACCACATAAAAATTCCGGAGAATATTCCAGTTGGCCACACTGTGTCTCAGATTACTATATGTTTCGTGAGATTCAATTTTTTTTAGGACAAATTTTATGCAAATATTTTTCATGGCAAATGTAAGGCTGTCATCTTAATTCGCACAGTCTTAGTAAAACAGTCCATGATCTGAATCAGTCGGAGCTTTCATTAGTGTTGGTGATGGATGAAATTTCAAGCAAACCTGCAAATATATTTGCCTGTTTCTATTAGAAAAATCAATCTCTAATTTCCTTTCCGCCGCTCACGAATATAATTTATTTACCTTTCCACTAATGTTTAAAGCAAATATTCTTTGTTTAAGGACATTGTAACAAATGTTCTGTTTGAAATCGAATCCGGAAATGAAGATGGCCATTTCCGAATATCTTCCACTAATGGAACAATCACTTCAAATGAACGCTTAAATGCCACCAAAAAATCAAGTTATAACTTAGTGATTTCGATGCGATCAAGTAATTGCACTAGAAAGCAGACCAGGTGCAAATTCTTATGGATCCCAACCTTTTCTACATATTACCTTTTAATAGTAAGGATGTTTGACTAGACTGTTATGGCAGCAATCTGATCAAAGTTTCACAATGTGAACATTCATCATTTACCACTAAGATAATTCAACTATTTATCAAAGCATTTTATAAATATTGTTGAAAATTACTATTTCCATTAAGATGATAATCATAATACATCGCTGAACTTTTATACAAGAAGAAAACTAAAAGTGAATCGACTAAAAGCTCTCAGTGAATGCGGAACTGTCTGTCGATTAATGAGAGTATTAAGTTCTGCAGCTTCTTTTGTGGATCAGGAAAAGGATTGTATCTCAATTAGTTCGTTAAGCTGAGGTCATCAATTAATTAATAGCATCATATATCTGGC